CTACCAGCAGACAGCTTCGCGTCAACTACCCCACAACACGCTGAGGTTGTAAGACTCACTGTCAGCTGCCTATATAGCGATGTGAGGGGGCTGAGAGGAAAAATAGGTAAACTCCGAATTCTCCAAGCACACCTACAACTGAAAATGATCATTCTCACTGAAACATAGCCAACCCCCACTATCGCCGATAATGAAACCAGTATAGGTGATATGGTTTTGGTCAGGAGAGACAGGGATAATAAGGAAGGATGGGGAGTTGGTGTATACTTTGACAGGTAACTTAAATGTGTGCGCGCAACGGACCCAACACTCATTGAACTCCCAGACTCCATATGGTGTCATTTCACCGTAGGCCACGCCAAGCATTTACTTGGTGGCATCTACCGATCTCCCACCTGTGGGGCAGAGCACAATCAGCTACTGCTCAGCACTATCACAGGGATACGAGACTTGGGTCATGACCAAATGACTATTGCTGGAGATTTCAATGTCCCATCACTGAACCTTCGCTCGGGGTATGCTAAGGGAAAATTCGGCCGAAATCTACTGCAAACTATTTGAAACACGGGGCTGACTGAGAACGTTGGAGACGACACTAGGTGGGGCCCTAGTAGAAACTCGTCAAAACTAGACTACATTCTAACTAGTGACCAACTACTTGTCGAAAAGGTCCAGATCATGACTCCTCTAGGAAGTAGTAACCATGCAGTCATAGGTTTCGATCTCGTTCTCCGTGAGAATTTGCAACCATGTCTGTGTTACAGCATGGCTGACTATGCTGAAATGCGGAGGCTCTTTTTCGACGCAGACTGGCCCTTAGCATGGGATCAGCTATCTGTGGGTGAACACTAGGAGGTGGTAAAAAAGATTGTTCATACAGTAATCTCAGATACCGTCCCTTTAGTCACAACACAGCCCAAAAGAAAGTCACCATGGTTAAAGAGAGGCACGCAACGTATTCTGCAAGCAAAGCGGGAGGCTTGGTTTACGTGGTGCGTATCTAAGAGTCAGATCGACCATGATGTACACCTGGAACTCAGGAACTGGTGCAGTGCAAGAGTCAGGAGGGACAGGAGTTCATTCCAGGATAACCTTGCTAAAAAACTCCTAGCAAACCCCAAGAACTTGTACCGATTCATGTCGGGAAGAAAACCAACCAATCAGGGGGCATGCGCCTTAGTAGGCCAAAACGGTCAATATCTCACTAGTCTGGAGATGGCTGAAATATTCAGTTTAGCCTTCGTCAAACAGCTAAACAGCAATGTGGGTATTACCGTTACGGACCAAAGTGGTGGCACCACTATTTCACAGGAGGAAGACCTAATGGCTACTCCACAAATAAACCCTGCAATAGTACTAAGAAAGCTACAGCGACTCACACCTGGGAAGTCCCCAGGTTGTGACGACATCAGGCCATCTGTTCTGAAACAGTGCGCTGAAGCTCTCTGTAGGCCCTTATGCGGCTTGTTCCCACACTCCATGGAATCGGGAAAACTGCTAAGGGAGTGGAAAAGAGCCATCCTTTCTCCGATCTCCAAGGGTGGGAATTGGCAAAATCCCACTAGTTATAGACCAGTAGCTGTACTCTCAGTGGTATCAAAAGTACTCGAAAGTATTATTGACGGTCACATCAGGGCATATCTCGATAGGTCTAATATACTCCATGAAGCCCAACACGGTTTCAGGAAAGGGAGATCCTGCGTTACTAACTTACTATCAACTTGGAACGATTGGACATCATGCTGGGATATAAATGTTCCAGTCCATGTGGTCTTCCTAGACTTTGAGAAGGCATTCGACACCGTTCACCATGACCTTCTCCTACACAAAATAAGCCAGAGAGGTATGGGTAAACCACTTCTGTCGTGGTTAAAGGACTACCTAGCTGAAAGGCAACTTCGCACTAAGGTCAATCGAGTTCGATCATCTTGGCACAGCTCGTCATCAGGAGTGTCTCAGGGTTCTATACTAGGACCACTGATGTTTTTGATTTTTATCAATGATTTACCATGGCGTCTAAGCTGCCCGACTCTTCTATACGCTGACGACGTAAAGATATGGAGGGTGATAAAGTGCCTGGAGGACTCAGGTAGGCTACAGGAAGATCTAAACCTTCTGGAAGACCGGGCGGTGACCGGTGGCATGACTTTCAACCTGAAAAAGTGCAAAGTAGTGAAGTTACGCACCTGTAGACTGCAGAATGCAAGTTACACCCTGTGCAATGAAAGCTTGTCCTGCTAAACGCCGGAACGTGACTTGGGTCTAGTTCTAACGGACAAAATGGACACAAGCGTAAATTACACGGGGGATTTAGCGAGGGCATATGCGGTCATACACTTTACACATAGACAATTAGGTGCACTCACTCCTGAGCTCTTTCTAAGGTTGTATAAAACACACGTCAGACCGCATCTTGAAGTGCATAATATCATTGCACCCCCACTGCTTAAAAGAGACGCCAACCTCTTGGAAAGAGTCCAACGACGGGCAACAAAAGGAGTGGTTGGTCTCCGAAATAAACCATATGACGAAAGGCTGAAGAAATTAGGCCTATTCACACTCAGTTACCGTCGCCTGAGGGGGGATTTAATTACTGCCTACAAAATAACAAGTGATCACAATCACCCAAACAAAGGTGTTCTGCCATTGAGTAGGTATAGGCTCCCTCATGGAAATCCTAGAAGGATAGCTCATCAGAGGGCAAGGACCCGGGTGCGCTCCCATTTCTTTTCCCTGTGTGTTTGCCATCCCTGGAATTCCTTACCGGCGGATGTAGCTATGGCACCGTCTGTGGACGCCTTTAAGCGAAGGCTGGACGACCATGCAGCGACACAAGGACTGCATCCAAATGACCTACCCCCTTAAAATCGCATACACCATTCAAAAGTAGACAATTAAACTGGTCGTTTTACTTCTTTACATTCTCTTCAGTCTTACTCTCCTGACAGCTTTAACTACACTATTATTATTATTATTACTGGTATATATAAATATATACCGGTTGACTGACTGTTGTTACGTTTTCTTATTCTTTTTCTGTCTGTTAGTCTGAATACCTTCACTAATTATATCTATTATTATTATTACAATTATTATTATCTTTTTCCTATTGACGAAGATACCGGAGGACCAACTGGTGAAAGGATCAACTCGATTCACAGTAGTAACAGTCCTAACACACCTCATACTGCAAACCACATATAATTAATCCCAGCGCTACTTCTTTTGGAGTCAACCAAAGCTACGACAGCCGAGTGGTGGGACGAGCTACGCAGACGTTTACCGAAGATCAGGAACCTCTACCTCACAATCAAGAGGTGAGCACAAAGAAATCAAACTGGTTTACACTAGCTCGTAAAAACGATATTGGATATTGGAATACATAACGCCATCCAGACCACTAGTCAGACGACGGAAGCATGACTGACCTTCCACACTTCCGAAGAAAGGCAACTTGCAGCACTACGATAACCACCATGGATTCTCGGTTCTGTCCTCTCCTAGCCAAGAATCAAGTCGCGTTATCCTCAACGGACTTAAATAGGCTTCAGATGCAAAACGGCCTGCAGAAGATGCGGATGGCATAAAAAGCTGGCGCAGCATCAACGGACAGAGCATAAAGTGTAGTCAGCTCTCATCCTCACTTTCACTGAACATGGGGAGCTAGAAGACGTGTAGAGTTAGGATCCAAAAGAAGACAGGTGGAGACCTGGATTTCGCGAATGATTTGTGTCTAATATCACACGAATTCACAGATTTACATGCAAAATTTGGCAATTTGGCAGAAGGGGCTGGCAGCGAACACAGAGCTTCAAGTGAATGTCGGGAAGGGAAAAGCGGTGAAGACACCTAACAAAGAATGGCAAGCATCAATCACCATCAAACGGAAGCCAGTTTTATTACTTATTCAACAAGAACGTTTCAGCTACAGGCGGTACAGAAAAGTGTGTCAAAGCCGGGATTTGCAAAAATAAGGTTTAACTGTAACCCCTCTGAAATTAGTGTAACGATTCTCTGCATTCAACATAGGAAACAAGGCAAGTATTTTCAACACTTGTGTCAAGTCGTTGATTTCGAATAGTTCAAAGACTTTGCTCTTATGTTACGGAAAGTATTTCCAAAGGACTGCAGTGATTTTTCATCAGCATTTGCTTTCACTAGATGTTGAAGATTGGTTGGCCAGAAGGAAATAGAGATGAACTAGGCATACGCATAGAGGCAATCCATAGAGGGAAATCCGAATGGAAAATCACTAGCAACGTGAGTCAGAAGGTGACATGGAAGAGATCGTGTAAGGAGGCAATGAAGGCTTATGCGCAGTCGTAGACTGAGCCAGGAGGTCCAGAAAACAGAATGCCTTGGAGCCCTGTGTTCCACTTAAAACAAAGGCTGCATGTTCAAATTACGTCCAGCTTACCATTTTAGACTCTGAGGTTGTTGACATTCACGGATAGTACTAAGTATACTAACGTAAGATCTAATATCCATAATTTCTATAGTATTCGTTCCGCGTAGACCAAAGAAAAAGCAAAACAGTGGGATTGACCGGCCTAATTAGGGATTATATTTCGGGACCAAATTGGAGTGTGAGAGTGATTACTTAACTAGCTAAGGATAGTGCAAGAACGGACGAATGTAATACGATGATGTGCCAAATGGCGTGGATGCTTGACTGGAAGCCTTCAGCTAAATAAATCGACTTAAACAGCGAGGGTCAGCATTCAGTGTTCGTTGATGAATGCTGAACAAATAAACTGTTTTTTACTGCAACATATAATTATCACAATATGGCCTTATTGTTTTGATTTGCAACTGACATATGTTGCATGACTCTTGCCCCAGCTTATCGTTCTTCAACTTATTTTGTACTCCGATTAAAATGCATCGTAGGACATAAGGGTACTTGACCCAGTGTAGTATCTAGAAGCAGTTGGAACAAGCATCCAATATTTATTTGCTACATTTATCGACTGATCGGAATACAACTTATCTATAACAATGAGGATTAATTTTTCAAAAACTGTGCGTGTTATTCACCAACATACACCTTAAAGGACATTCACAGCGAGAAAAGACAGCAGATACGAATTTGTCATAAACACATCTGTTTGCATCCCTTCTCATCACTGTCATATGAATAATCAACAAGAGTGCTTTTCTTAAAATGCTTTTATTATTATGTATGCAAAGACAAGTACTGCATCTAATTTTATTATAACAGCTGAAGTAGATTTCCTCGTTTAAAGCCAGTCGTATAATTAGGTAATTACATAATGCAACAGTAGAATACAGTAATGCAAGAAGAGGGATGTAATGAAATTGGTATAACTCAATAATAATGTATGAAAGACATGTTGACAAGTTATTCTCTGTTCTTTTTAAATTCTCTTTCAGCTACATTAGGATTTATTTAGGACAATGAATTTAAAATGCCACTTCGGCAAATATAGAATACAAGAATAACTTAACAACATGACAAGTACATTTGTTTTAATTTAGGTATACAAGGTTCAATGTCAAATTGGTGATTTAATACGGGAAAAAGAAATTCATACTCTACTCTTTAACAACTGTATCAAATACAAAAAAAAACAAGAATATATAAATGTATATATATTAAATCTGGTTAAATGAATAAAATTATGTTTAGGACAAGCGGAAAAATACTGCACTGTTATGTATTACTGTAATCCATTAATTGTCAATGTCTATTAAATAAACGAAATCGAAATTATAAATTATGTAGCTTTAAAGTAATAATCTAGCAGAAATGAACAGGGAGCCATAAAATGTCGAAACAATCAATCATTTTCAAAATGCAGGTGCACACAAACAAAACTATTAAGGGTAGTTTGTTAGGGAGACTTTTCAATATGAAGATAAACTGAACTTCATATTATAAAAACAGATTATGAATTTATGTGTATTTTAAGTTGGTTAAAAACTATGAAAGGATTCTTTTTTTTTCAGAATCATTTTTATCAGGTTGAAAGCTTTTGGGGGCATGATGCTGCTAAGTCTTATGGTTAATTTCTATAAGGCGAGTATGAAGTAGGATAGATTGGGACAGAACGAGTACTGGATGCATCTCCTGAAAACAGAAATTAAAAGAAAGAAAATTATTATGGAAAGTATTTACATTCATTTTAAACAAGGTATCCTATTTGTTCTTTAATGAATACAGTGTTTAGGCACAAATGTGAGATAGAATTCAGTCTGCACCAAACAAAGGACTAGATGAATGACACTAGTTACTCACTACTTAGTGTCCAATCAAAGTATCCATTACAGTCCTACAGGAGGCTAATTGCTAGTGGTAACGTCTCTGACAACAGCACTGAGTCACCAGGGTACTAGTTTCAGAAGAGACATGAGTTCCTTCAAGATTGCAGATACGCCTTTCTGTTGAATGCCGACAAGCAGGCAACTTACATCAGGCAGGGATCCCTACTGATTGCCTCTAACCACCTAACAGCAATTCACAGTGCATCATAATGGCGAGCGATCTAGTATTGTGGCCACATTGAAAACCTGACTGATAGAATTCTGTCTGCGAGAAACGAAGGACTAAACGCAAAATACTATTTGCTACATAGAATGCTACTGTCGATCTGCATTTCTTCAACAGGCGTCTTTGCATAGACATTTATCATATTAAAGTATTACTGGTCGAGACCTCCAAATGATGGGGTATTCATCATAACGAATTAACCTACTTATGTATCAGTATGTATCAGTACCAAGCGAATGATCTCTAGAAGTTCGACCTATATCCTCGCTTAGCCGGTAGCAAGCTTGGAAAGGAGGGAAGGTTTGGCATTAGACCAACAACCCAACCTCTGAAAGAAGACACCAGCACTACTGAAACTTGAAAGCATGGAGTTCAACAATTACGCTTGGAACGCAAGAAAAAATGGGAAAAATATGAAGTTGGGCAAGGCTAGTGGACTGATACATAGTGTGAAAACAGTAATATACTAATTGCAAAGTGTTTTAAATGTACAATGTAGACTAGTATACGTAGGAGCACCTCACCTTTTAAATGGATTTCGAAGGACTACTTATTAATTTAAAATGGAAGTAACAACACAAACCTTCATTGAAAGAGTGGTTACCATGACAAACCTCATAGCTTTTGTTCTTAAAGTTAGATTTGTTGCCTGATGACTGAGCAGTTTATTTCAAAGGATTACTTTTTGTCAAACAAATTGCTTAATAGTAACCAAGTCATGCTGCATACAGTATTTCTAGTTGCTGTTATATATGGTTCAGAGACTTGGTGAGTCATGTACAGAATTTTCAACAGCCGACCTGCTGCAGACTTTACTCAACAGCCGCCTTTGCTGGCTAGATACCAAAGGTCAGTCAGTCAGAAAGGATGGGCGAGCAAAAAGGAATTCGGATAACGAACCAAGCAAGAAACTATTGGTCAAGAAATACGCAGAAAAAAATTGGTAGTAGAGTGAAATCACGCGCCACGCTCTCGAGTGGAGTTAGGATAGGCAAATATGAGTTCAGTGTCCAACGGTCACATGAAGGAGACTATGTGGGGAGAAAAAGGAAGCTTATAGACAATCAGGAAGCCAGCTAAAGAGGATTACAGAGCACAGAGTGAAATGAAGCTCTGCTGATGAAGTCCTATCTTCCAGTCAGAGCCCAAAAGAATAAAAAATCAGTAAAGTAAACTTGTGATTACACTCGTACACATGGAAACAGATAAAAAACATCAAACCCAGCAGATTTTTCAAAAAAAAATCCATTCATCATTTCTTGAGATTCATTAGAACGTTATTATCCTCCAAGGTAATGCCTAACTGACTACTGAAACACCATCTGTACAAATTCATTTGGTAATTGTGTTTCGAATAACGAGGGAAAAAAGGCATACACATATAGAGTGTACTAAATATGAGAAATAGTTCCCGTTGTTTTTTATGGTCTCTTTGCCCCAATTAAAAACTAATCTAGGCCGTAATTTACGTAGTACACTGTGCATTTTTTTAAGACATGCACCTAGATGAACAGCTGTAAACAAGGATCTGAATAAATTCAATATTTGCTTATAAAAAATTAAAGTAGAAATAGACATTTGATAAAGTAAATGTTTACGCCAGCTTACAATGTTATGGTTATTACATATCTTTTCACAAATAGGTTCAAAAAAGTTAACTCCTCAGAAATGATATCGGCAGAAATATATAGCACATTGTTTTCAATAATTTCTCCTCTTCAGGTTCTGACAATTATCAAATAGAATATTTGTTATCGTTACAATAACGGCCAGGTTTTGGCGAATGCATTTTTTGCGTAGAATAACAGATTAGCTGTAGGGTGTGAAAATAAATAGTGTCTGTGTGGTTAACACGCTAGGCTGAAATCGATCACAAAATATTGTGAAGTGGGAGACAATGGTGGTGATTAGTCATAGTAGATTGGTAGAACGTGGGGTAAGGAACATCTGGACATCAGTAGGTGTCCAATGTCCATCCAGCAACTCAAAGATGTCTTGTCTAACTTCAGCTTTTCTTCATATATTTACCGTTTCAATTGTTCCTGTGGCGTACAATTAGACAAGCTCGTCTATGGGTTCGAGAACATTTACCAGCTTGGTTTAGCAAATGGGGGAAATGAATGCATAAAAAGTTCTATTCTGTCACACTTGGTCGATACTAGAAATCAAATCGATGCCAACACAGCCTTCAGGGTTATATACCAAATTCTGAAGTTGTTATCACGTACAGTTGGCTTACATCTACACATAGCTGAAGCTGTTGCAGTAAGATCGATTAAACCGTATCCATAAAGAACACGTCCAGATGCTGTTCGTACAGTGGCCAAACTTGGATCAAAGTTTCTTCTTCTTGCCAACAGTGCCTATTCCCCTTATCTCTCTTAGTTTTTTTTTTATTTTGCTTTGCTTATTATTACAACTATTATTATTAATCGTTATAATTTATACCATTCATTAAAACATTCTCTCAATACTATCGAATTTTCCATTTGTACTATCCGGACTTATTATTAGTGATATTATCTCTTTTCTCAACATATGCCTCCATCTGTTTCCTTTCACATATTCGTTATTTCATTGTGAACCTCTCACTGCAGTCTTACTACCTCTTCCTATTGAAAACATACTACTTTGTACTAGCCACTCACTCAACTGACACCTGTTATAACCTTGAACTGACTTGTCAATTTTCCTACCCCACACTCTGCAAATCTACTATGACTAATTACAACCATTGTCTCCCATTTCACAGTATTTTATAATCGATTTCAGCCTAGCACGTTTGTCACACAAATACGACTATTTATTTTGACACCCCATGAGTACTAATCTGTTATTCTACGTCAAAAAATGTATCCGCTGCATAACTGGCTATCATTATTGTAACGACAACAAATATTATATTTTATAATTTGTAAGAACCTGAAGATTTAAAATTATTGAAAAGAATATTCTTCGTTCAGATTGACTTTTAATTCATGATATGGGAATATTTCACACTATTAAATCACATTAAGCATAGTCTTGTTGAAATAAATTTCAATAATTTTCAATCAGATTCCTTCTCCGTAAGTAGTTATTCATGTTTGTTTCAATTAATATGGTGTTACAAGAATCATTTGGAACAAAGAAGTTGCATTAATTCGTATGTGTCTCCAAACTAAGTTCACATTTAATGTAAGGATAAAACTTGGGCACTGTGGTAGAGTATAATTCCTCTATGGATTAAAATTCTTATTTTGATAAAATCACACAGTGTTGTTATACAGTAATATTTACTGATGATGACGTTTCGAGCACAATTCATTGCCGCTCATAATCTCATGTCAAGGCACTCACTCAACCTTCTTACTTCATTTATATACATGAGAAAAACTGATTAGACATTTGAATAAAATCAGTATGAGATAAAGTACATTCAGAAATAATATTAGTGTTAGCAATAAAACACAATAAGATGGCAAATAAGATGTTTTTATAGTAAAATAAGTAACTTGTTAGAATGTTATGATGTACGTGAATTGAAGTAGAATTTTAAGATTATTTATTAACCTCCTCTGATTTGACTGACTGGTGGTAATAATATCTTTCATATCTCTGGTATTTGCGTTGAGTCACTTCTGTTGCATGTGTTGGGTGTAGACTAAATGAACAAGGATTCAATAATCAATCTCTCTCTCTCTCCATCCATCTACCTACCTATATTACTTTTTAGAATTTTGACTCTGTCCTACCCTATTGTGTGGTTGTGTGTTAATGCATGCAGTGATATTGCTATTTCCCGTCTTATTGTAATTCATTGATAACATTAATATTATTTCCGAATGCACTTTATCTTATATTGATTTTATTCAAATATCTAATCATCAATTTTTATTCATATATATAAACGAAGCTAGAGAGTTACGTGAATGTCTTGATATGAGACTATGAGAGGCAATGAATTGTGCTTGAAACTGGGATTTACAAAATATCATCTTATATACAGTAACTTAATCCTCATTCTCCAACCTGAGGTAATTTCTGCGTTATCAAGTCCAAGAATTGGTAAAGATAACAAAACCACGTACATATTGTTAGATTCTATAAATTTGTGAATCATATCGAAAGAAGAAATGAATGCCGTGAAGGCGGTATTCAGCATTCGAATTATTGGGAGTTAGTACTTATGAGACGTTGGATTCAGTCGCAGTGGCTGAATAATGATCAGCGAGCTCACCGAGCGAAATGAAGGTCCTGAATTCGATGCCTGGTGGGGTCGTGGGTACGTTCTACTAAATGATACCAAATTTGGAAGTAAAAGCTGTCCAGAGACCCAGGTTCGCAACGGTTTAGTAACCGATATCCATTCGTGTTCAAATCTGAAACCAATCAAATTCCTAGAAACTAACACTTGCGATCCAGAAAGGATAAAAACGTAGTTGGCTGTTGGTCTGTACTTTGTGTAATTAGGCCAAAAGATTGATTTTGATAATATTGAAATCATTGAGAAAAATTTCAGAGATCACAAAGCACTTCACATTAAATGGAATCTTAATTGTCGCAGTAGGAATGATGGATTAAGGTAGAATTTGACCTGGTTCTCACACTGCTACCCATGCATGAAGTGATAAAATTAGCACAGATATGACAAGCAATATCATGATGTAAACACATGCTGTTTTTATATTTCAAACACTTTGTAAATGGTTGGTTGTCTGTACTGATGCATTGAGCTGACAACGTAGAATCTATGATTAAGTTACTTACTGTACGTGAACTGAGATTTTGTAAATTCTCGTTTCATATTAATCTGTCTTCTTCACAAGAATGGTCACGAAACAAGGAATATTATTTTCGATAACTTACTCTTCATCAGGTAGCTTCTACAGTTATGTATACATAATGGTGAATCAATTAGTGTTACTAACAACATTAATGTTGCTTAAATAACATCAGATCAATAATAACAATATCAGTGGATTACAGTTCGTTAGCTTCAACATAACACCACACACTGAACATCAGAGAAATTAGGGAAGATGATAATACAAATTCATGAATTCATAGTCTATACTGAAGGCCTATTAGGGCAGTAGTAGTGGCTGGCTGGACTTGCTTCTTTTGCACACAAAGCACTGGTTATTTCACGCGAATTGCGATAGCCTCTGCTGTTTGATACATGTGGTACTTCAATGTTTTCGGAAATTTATTTGGGACCCGATAGCTGATGATAGAGAAAGGTTCTTCAATGCTGGCTATGTGGCCGGTTTGGACTAGATGGTCTAATATCGAACTGTTGATGCTTTTCACGACGTCTTTACTTAGCCATAGTGGTAGATGTTCTCCAGCACGAAAAGTGAAGTTCCTAGAGCTGAGCCCAGCCCAAGTGGTCTAGTGGATAACACTTTGACGCTTGAAACTATGGCCACTGGGTTTGAGCCTCGGTGAGAACATTATCACTCACTGGGGAGTGCAGGTACATCCAATTGACGAGTCCCAAATATGACGAAATGCACATCCTAGATTCCACTGCTAGTCACCATCCACCAATTAAATTCTAATTACATGCCCAGACATCGTCGAAGCATCTGCACAAGAAGCCGACATGTCAACCTGAGACCGAGCACTTCGGTTCAATCAATCGACAGGAAATCTAAAATTCAATTATACAAAGAAAACTGTTGAAATTTCAGCTCCTCGAGCTGTGTAGATTGCATATTGATTTTTGAGTTGAGAGGTTAATTTAGGATTGGAAAGTCATTGGTGTCAGCACAGGTTTCTGTGCATTCACATCTTCAAGATACTAAGACCATCTTAAACGTCATGAACATACCTTTCTGGCGTGTCTTAGGTAGGAGGATGAATAATTTTTCTAAACAGCCTTTTACCTCCAACTGGATAATTCAGATCAATAAAAGCATGACAACAATATTCAATAAATTAGTTGTTGTGTTCGCCGAATTTCTCAAAAAAGCATTACATTCTACACAGTTACATTTAAAGTAGAATTTCTTGTTTATTTTAATATTAATTCACTAACAAAACACAACAGGAAACTGATACCTTTCAGTTCATAAATACCTTAAACAGAAATATTTTCACGTACAAACAATTGTAATAAGCTAACTAGCTAGTGAAGAAAATAGCTAATTTAATTTCCCCTAGTTCTTCAAACTATTTGAATTCTCAGTCATCCCAGCGAATAATTGGTCGATTTAGGAAGTTAGAAAAAAGCAATACAGTTTAGGGCATTTTGGGTTTTAACGCAAAAACACCATTATATAAACAGAAATGTATCTCATGTTTACAGAAAATAAGATATTCTGTTTACTGATGTCAGCTCATGGTGAAATCCTCCAGCCAATCAAACTAAAATACTTGAAAATTAATCTGATGATCACTAGCCACTGGCCCAATTCAGGCAATTAACCTAGGGTTATAGTAGGAAGCCGTGACTAGAAGGGTACAACAGGTCGAAGGCGAGGAGAGATACTAATCGAGGAAGGCATTTCAGAGTGGTCGCGCTATCTCATGAATTGGCAGAAGTTAGAATTCATGCCCTGGTCATTGGATCGGATGTGTCCCAGTGATTATTGGCAGACACAAAGTGTACACGTAGCTGTCCTTATCTGTTCATTTTATGCCTCTAACTTCGAGCATAAATTAGTTTAATGGTAGTCGAGATGATGTCCATAAACTCGGTACCCTGGATTCATTAGATGTTTATGAATTGGGATCTACGCTAGTATCCTTTGATAATATTTTAATATTTTAAAAATGCATACTCCGTTTCTAAGTGCATGATATTGTCAGTGATTGAAATAAGTCATAGGTAAGCACACTATTATCTCAGTCGGAAGCAAACAAAAGTATTTTAGAATAATAAGAGTCTGGAATCAAAGAAATAATAATTTACGAAAAAATCCTAATGAAGCCGTTGACAGGATTCATTGTGATTCTCCGGTTTTACGGAAAGTAATCGAAATAGTTGTTAGACACTTGAAAACAATCTTCAGGGAACTTTCGATCTAGGTTTCGTGTTTGTCAGCACTCTTCAGTAAGGCGTATCTGCAACCCTCATGGAACTTATATTCGAACAGGGATTTGAGTCCGATAGTGGTGAGTCACCTGACTAAATGAACACATTAAAAATTTGACTGAGAGAATCCAGTGAAACCCAACGCCAAGGACTAGATGCATGACATGGGTCGCTCACTAGTGACCGATCAATGTATATTGTATCATTTTGCCACTTCTAACTGTAGCTGTATATTGAAATAAATAAAGTGACGGTATATAGATTGTACTAATCCAGGGAACTGTGTACATACATGAACTATTTATAGCCAAAAAATAAATGTGCGATTGTATAATTTTAGATGGAAGGATTTCATGATTCCTATTCCCCTACTCTCTCTGTCTCTCTTATTCTTATTTACCAGTTTGTATACGACAACCGTTAAATGAGTGCTTTTCAACTTATTTGCGTACTATCAGCAAATGCGTACGAGAAACTTTTGTCGTGTTCACCTTAAGTAAGCTTAGTTACTTAGATATAATGGCGAGTACAACATTAATAGTGATAATACTATTCTGAAGGCGTATTAATAATAATAAGGATATAATAATCAATAAATCAGACAGAAGTAATTCAACAGTAGTACTAGATAATTCAGACTTCTTCGAGGAAGTTAATACCCACAAACAAATAGCACCGTATGATGAAATTAACAAACCAGTGGACAGCGTTATGAATAAAGTTAAGAAATAATCCACAGCGGGTTGAAGTTCAATAACAGCATCCGAGCAGTGCGAACGCTTAAATGACCTTGAACGCTTGCTAGTAGTTGGTTGAGGAAAGTTACGATTATTCAAGCGTGAAAATGAACGCTGTTCATCTGCTCAGATGCAAATTTCACCCAGATAACATATTTCAACAATGTCTGGATAATAAACTGATAGAACGTTCTCGTATATGTAACTGTGGTGCTTCAGTGAACCTGCAACCGTATTCACAGGTCATTGATGGATATATATTTAGATGTACGGAGTGTTGGAATCGAACAAGTGTTCGTACTGGTAAGTCACACTCTCAGTTAATTTTATTCTAGGGGCTTTCTTTGCTAAATCGAAACTTTCTTTGATGAATATACTGTTTCTTTGGGATTATTGAATTTAGAAGTCCGGTGTGAGGTCAACTGCGGCTCAGACAGATAATACGTTGACGTCTTCTGTGCAGTGGTTTAAGTTCTGTCGAGATTTAGCATCATGGGAAATGAACAATATTGCACAAGTGTTGGGAGTAGTCAGTATTGTCGTTCATATTGCTGAAACGGTGCTTATAAAGAAGAAATACAGTCGCTGCCGTGCTAGAGCTAATAACGTTTGGGTACTGGGAATTTATAACACCCGAATTCGGAAAGGATTCATTGAACAGAAGTGCCGACACTCTTCTGCCCATTATTCAGAGACTCGTTTTGCCTGGCACTGCTACACACACGGATGAATGGGCAGGATATAACTCATTATCGGACTTAGGATATATACACCACCGGGTTAACCATTCTGATGATTTCGTCGATCCCAGAACCGGTACTCATACTAATTCAATAGAGAGTTTCTGGGGTAGATTAAAAAATAGATTAAGAGCAACAAATGGCTCTTGAAACCAAGTTATTTTTAGTCACCTGGATGAATACACGTATATGAACTGGTATAATTTAAAAACTGACACTCCCCATTCTAATTGGGACATACTTTTATCCCATTTTAGGGAAAAGTACCCTGTCTAATGTTTTTTCATACTTTTTTATGTAGGTATACGTAATTTTTTGTGCAAAACCCCTCATTTTTCTGATTGGTCCACTCAAGGTCACTCGTGCGTTCGCATCATTTGGGACGCTATTGTAGAACTGTGCCCACATCGAATCCTATACGCCAAATGGAGGCGTTTCTGGGTGAGTCTAAATGGTCTAATTTGATGCCCTGAAACTAATTATCTCAGTAGGATGTATGGTGTTGTTAAAGTTCATAAATCAGGATATCCTATTAGATACACAATTAATTTTAGAAATTCTCCAACTTATAAATTGTTTAAATATTTAGAGCTATGGTATTAAATCCACTTAGAAGTCACTCACTAATTCTTATGAACTAGAATATGGACTAGATAATTCAAAATTAGATAGAGAAGGAAAAAAATCGTTAGTTCCGTTATCACCTGTTTAAATACAAGAATACTAAAACATATGGCTATTGGAGACGTCAAAAAGGAACACATTTCTAACGAAGAACTTGAACTTGGAACAAAAGTGACACCAGAAGATATTATGCTAGGCGTGTACCTGTGCCTAATTTCTACCACACTTAAATTCCATGGGAAACTATGCAAATAAACTCAGGGGATATCCTCGATATTAGCATATATATATTCATGGACAAAGGTGACACGATTTCAGAAATACCAAAATATCTCCAAAAAAATCATGAATAGAATACAAAAAGAACTTACTTTGCTCACTATAACTATTCATCACATAAGTGTTTTGAGCGTAGTAGTCATTTTGTCCATATTGGTTTGCAGGGACAGCTTTAACCCAGTTAGTACTGTTACTATTTCTTTCATAAGATGGACGAGCAAACTTCGTAGTGATGGTGCTGCTAGTGTTGTTATAGCCACTATTCACAGGAGCATTCCACAGTTGAATTGGTTGAGTAGTCACCCATTGATTACTCGGTGAAACATTATAGCTTGTACGATTACACTCATATGAATTGTGCTGTGTTTGGTTAACTTGTGGATTATGCGTAGGATGTATCACCGCGGTCATTGTTACTTGTTGTAACTGTTGAGGTTTTATCTGACGATTTGGTTGATACGTCTGACTGTTGAAATTCTGTCCATAAGTATTCGAAAATGAACCATTGTATCCAGGCGTGGTTATTACACGTGGTTCATTTGTAACCTGTCTTACCTTAACAACTGGACAACCTGTAGTCTCACTAATGCTGAGCTGTTGTTCCAAAATACGTAATGATTTTGTTTGGATAGGACGAAATGAATGACCACGGGTAAGAGATCTTGTGGATATCTTTCTTTGATTAATGCTGTCTGTATCGAATGAAGGTTGTTGACTGAATGATGAAGTAGCCATTACTTGAGGAGCTACCTGTGCCACTTTGTTTATATCTACTCCACGTCTGTGAGAAAAAAGAAACAATCGAATAAAGGTGTAGGTTATTGATGTATTTAAAATCAGCGGAAAAATGTGTTAATAAAGAGGGATTTAATGATAGATTCATCAAATTTAGGTAGAATTCTTCAGCTGAATACTCTACACACAGGGATATATGTATATTTATACCATTAGAATTACACTGGGAGATATATGACTGATCAGCAAATAAACTGCATTGAATAAATCATGCAAAACGACAGGTGTGAGTGTGTTTCAGGCCATGTTCAGAAAGATAAGGCGAAGGGAGTGTGACAGATTAAAATTAACATGATAATAATGCTTTACGGTTGAGTTACATCACAATTTCCAGGGAAAGAACCTGAATATATATATATACATTAAATTTATCCAACAAAAATACAGTTGGTTATTGTTATGTTAACTTAACAGGTGGGAATTAGTAGGTTTTGGGTGGAGTTAAGTAATACAAAAAGTACTGATCTTGATGGCAAGCTACCTAGAATGGTGGCCACATTGCAAATCTGACTGATAGAATTCAGTCTGCACCAAAGAAAGGGCAAGACACATCAGACTAGTTACTAGTGTCCAATCAAAGTATCCAATACAGTCCTACAGCAAGTCAATCGCGAGCCCATAAAGCTCAGTGGTAGAGTCTCTGACTGCAGCACTCACTGGGTGACGTGGGTTAGAATCTCAGAAGGGATATGAGTTCCTTCAAGGCTGAAAATACTGTTTGTTGACTGGTGAGTGCCAACTATCTCGAAACCTAGGTGTAGCCAAGGCTTCCTGTGGCCGATTGCCTCCAAGCATCTAATTTCATCCAATCAATGTGCTTTGATATGTGAAACGATAGGTGCTTGTTTCAAATCGTCCTGACAATATCCTTAACTGACAAACCAGTATTACCTGCTCTTGAGTCCCAAATGAAATACAACGCAACCAAACTACTAACTTAATAGTTTCTTTTTTGCTCTACTTGTTTTACAAGATAGTTTAGTCATTCTTAATATTAGAGAGTTACTAAAGTCTTAAGTTGTTTTGAAACTTAATAGTGTGATGAAAATCCTATCTACCGTATCCGTAATAATGTTTGATTTATAATGCTTAGTCAGAGCACTACTCAGCAAATTCTGTAAAATTATGCTGTAGCATCCAGAGGGAAATATTCAGAGAAAAAATCTTGTTTCAGTTTTCTAAATACACACTGGAATTATTTTTTAAAGCAATTTTCACAGTGATTCAACCAAACTTGGCGCTAAAATTATTCCGCGAAATTCAAAACATCCACAGTCTGGATATTTATATGAAAATCATATGTTACGAAAATTATTGAAATTCTGGCATCATAAAACTGGGACAAACATTTGTTCATTGGGAAGAAAAAAGAAGCTTGCATATGTTATGAATCTCATGTGAAATGTTACCAAATTACACGACAGTGTTTGTCGTTGTAGTGTTGTTTGAAGACGCACATATAGTAATTGCTAACTAACACATATAATTATGATGTTATTATTATTATTATTTCAGACACATGTGGAATTTTCAAGTCGATTTGAAAGCCTAATGAAATGAATAAAGTCGTGACGTCTTAAGTTTACCATTTTTCTTTGAGGGAACAATGACAGCTTCAAGTCATTAAATCAAATTCGCAGTTTGCAAACTAATTCTCGATTCACCATGTACACAGCTCGACGAAATGAAATTTCATCGCATTTTCCTTTGAAAGTTGAAATTAGTTGGGGGATTTCATTATTAGCTGACATCACTTAGAGAACCATTGGAAAACCAGTACTGGGCATCTATTTCGTCTCCCTTCTCCGGGACTCTTCAGTAGGACACACAAACAGCCAGGGTTTGAACACAGGACCTTCTGGTTACAAGGTAAGCTAGCTCGTAGACTGTTATGAGTTTGATCTTTGGTAGGATTATATTTTCGAGCGTTTGCATCACTGCTTCTGTAATCAAACCTGATATTGGCGATCCCATGGGTGTTCCTTTAACTTTTTCATATATTTGACCGATAAGAAGGAAATCTCACACACAAAGCGTCAAAGTTCAAGTCAAGGAAACAATCAGTTCCAATACAAGTAGCCTAGAGTGTATGAAAACACACAAAAACAACCAATCACGTTCAAGGTCACCCACCAGGAGAGATGATTAATAAACTCGTGGAGAAATCTAAAAGCTCACTTCAATTCGAATTGAAGTATGCACTGAAGATGTTGCCTAGTAGGGCAATGAAAGCTCAGCAAATCAACCATTCGGCTCAGATAACACAACCAAATCAAAGTCATCCACCTGAGCTACAAATCTTGTCCATCATATATAATTGTGTAATTTCGATTAGCTGCAATTGATATTTTCCATGCATCCACTTTTGATTCTGAGACTGGAAGATGAACAACCTAGGCTAGTTACCTTTTATTGTATCTATAAGTCAGTTGTATTGGCCACTGTTCTAGGAACTGTACTTTTCGTACTCGGGAACACTTATCATGTTGGATCTATTAGTCCAAACAGGTCATTGAGCCAGCACTGAAAAGTGTTTGTGTGTCATTTATCGAGTACAGAATAAACTTTCAGAGGCTTCTAGATACCGAAAACTTTAAACAGAAGAAGTCATGCCTATCCAATTAAAACAATCAGAACCTTGTGTAAAAAATAAACAGGCTTAGTCACTACTGCTAGTGTGGCATACTGTGGGATCTATAAATTCATGAATATCTGCAGTATTTTTCTTAATTCATTGTGTTATATTTAAAATATTACTCTTGTCAATAACAATAATTATTTTTTAGCTATTAAGGATATGTAACTGAAGAACTTGTTGACAAAGTTATCGCAAAGAATATTCTCTGTTCACTTACAAGTCTTTTGTAAAGCAAAATCAGGGGGATATATTAACTTACCTGATCAATATGAGATCTAATTCATTACCAGCACGCAACATTTCAGCTTTCACTTGTTCGTATGTTTTACCAACTGTTAAAGAGTTGCAAATGCTAACAATGACATCGCCAACTTCTACACCACCTCGATAAGCTAATCCATTCAAAGAAACCTGAAAAGCAAAAAGAAACAATTAATTGGTGAAATTTTTAATCTATGTAAACACTTTCTTTTTCTAGTGAATTTATGCAGACACATATCACATTCACTCAGTTACTGGAAGTGATAGAAAACACTTGACGAAAATTCCGATTGTTAGATTACCAACATGAACCAGCATCAGTTAGGGAGATCATTGAAAATCAAGGAGTACTAGACAACTGTTTTGTCCTATTTTTGTACTCCTCATCAGTGCACACCTACGACCACAATGATTTCAGTGATCTCTCTAATTGATGTGCGTTGGTGGCGAAAATCTAACAGATCAAAATTAATACAAAATCCATACAAATCTTATAATCTGAGTATCACATCACCAGCTCACTGATGGCTATTGGATGGAATTCTTCAAGAGCTGCAGTGGGGTGCACCATGTCCAGCTGAAATGGTTGCTCATGGGAGACAGTGGTGAAGGCAGTGTTACATCACAAAGTGACAGAGTTAGAAACAAAGAGTCGTTAAATTGCAGGCTGAGTGACTGAATGGTCAAGGAGCTTAGTCTGGTAACCCCTGAAGATCCTTGGTTCGATCCGTGGTGGCGTCATGATCGCACATTGCTGAGGAGTCCCAAAATAGAACGGAACATCTGTCCAGTGCACCTTGGTTTCCAATAGTCTCCCTAACTAATTTCGGTTAATAAGGAAAATCTAGCAACCGAAAATAATCCAAAATCGTCACAAATCTATAATCTGAATTTATTAAAATAGCCAAGTGTAGTATGCCGTATATGTCTCTGATAAAAATGTATTGAAGTGATGCGTAGTGAAATGTTAGCAGAAGTCACTAGGAAAAAAATAGTAAAGTCAGAAAATACAAAAAACAGGGGGACCAATAGGAACTTAGATTGCGTCCCATTTTATATACATATTTATATATACCCGAATTGATTTCACTTTGTACAGTTTGAAAAATTGGGGCTTTAGGGGGTATACGATATTCATTATAAAAGAGGATTTTTTGCAGTTCCCAATGAATGAAAAACAAAACGACAATGTCGTTGTTTTCACAGACGTTTCGCTATTTAATGCTGCTAATAGCTTTATAACAGTATTATTAAACCAGAATTTACAAAACCTCAGCTTATATATAACAAGTGAACAATCTATCTCCCAGCATCCAGTTTACTTCGGAAACAGAATCAGACGTCGGTGAACTACCACTTTTAGACTGCCTAGTTAAGAGGAATGAAAATGGACATTTTTAGTTTATCTGTTTTCAGGAAAAAATTCGGATCATCACACCCCATCAGCGCAAAGGTATCAGTTGTTTCAATCCTTCTTAGACAAGCACACTCTTTGATAACGGATGGGAAAGAAAAAGAAGAAGAAATATCAAACATTAATTAGATTCTCAAGCAAAATAACTACCCAAAGAACTTCATCAACAAAATCAACACTGACATTAAATATGGTCGAAAACGTATTCCGAAAACATGGGCCTCAACAGTTGTCATTCCACATAGATCAGAAACGTCAGACGATATCAGAAGAGTACTCAATAAGCTCGACATCAGAGTTTTCTTCAAAACATCAGACACACTGTAAAACAACCTTGTCCATTTAAAAGACCAAATCTCTGAGAATTTTCCATCTAATTGTGTCTATAAAATGAAATGCTTGGAATGTGATGCGATTAACATCGAACAAACATCTCGAGAAATCAAAATCAGAAGAAATGAACACCTTAGAGCATCTGTTCGACCACCAAGAAACGCAGTTGAACTAGAAAAGCTTGAGAAATCATCAGATATATATCTATATACTATAGAATCAGGCCACAAACTTGATTTTGACAATAATGAAATCATCAGCCATAATAATTTCAGAAATCACAAAGAACGTCTAACATCACCAGAAGCACTTCATATCAAGTGGAATCCAAATTGTCTGAATAGGAATGATGGACTAAAACAGAATTTGACCTAGTTACAACAACCCCCCTCCCCCATGAATTGACAAAATCAGCACGAATGTGATAAGCAATTTCATTATGTAAACACACCCTGCTCTTATAATTTTATACACTAATCAAATCCAACGGTCTACACCTGTTCTTGTTATCTTCACCAATTGACCAACTTGACAACGTAAAGAGAATTACTCCATGCTGAGGAACGATGATTAAGTTGTTACATATAAGCTGAGATTTTGTAAATTTCGGTTTAATAATACTTTGATAAAGCTATTAGCATTAAATAGCGAGACGTCAGTAAAATCAACCATATCATTTTGTATTTCATTCACTGGGGAATACAAAAACCTTTATTATAATGAATATATATTTTCCTATGAAAGACAGATTGTTAGATATACCTACTGTAGAAGGATTTGTTTAAAACGTTTAGATGGCGAATAAAAAATGCAACAGATTTTTTCCGCACAATTTGAGATGGTTACACTTAAAGAGGAAATGCATACCTTTGGTTTGGCGGCCATAATTCTGTGATAGACAAATTGTAGTAACCCCTGATTAGTTATAAAGAAGTTGAACGCTTAAATATTACACTTGTCGACCTTAGGGGTTTCAAAACATCTCTTCATTTGTAAGGAAATTTGTTCTTCTAGACATGAAAATGTTATTAAGTCACATATAAACTTGGATACCTTACAATGGATTTATTCACGTGACAATATACAATAGGACGTATGTTACTCTTTTTGATATTAGTTATTAATAGGAATTTTATTCACGCTAGAATACACAGAAGAGTGGCGTAACATCGTCTGGTTTACTAGCAATAGCTTAAACGAAATGAATGTAACTCAGCCAACAAAGAGCATCTCCATGAATGATGTCATTCTATCTTCTCCTGACAACCATTGTCATGACTAGTTGTTAATTTACTTCTCTATTGATCATTTTTATGGCACTGGAATTCGAAATTTCTTGTCATGTGATTTACTTTTTATTAGCTGATAAATTTGGTTTATAATAATGTGTTTGTTAATTGCTAGTTCACTTGAGTACCAGGCTTCTGGAAATTCCTCGGCAGTATTTTTGTTGTTTCCTCTATTTACAATTTCTACATTATCCCAATCAAATTGGTATCTGTAATTATCCACATGCACTGCAATGAAAGAATATATATCATGTCTTTGCACAGCCAATTTGTGTTCTTCGATTCGGACACATAGGGGGGGTTCACCCACTTTGACCGCTGTAAGAATCATTGCACGTAATACGGTTTATTTTGTAAATGATATTAATTTTATCTCCTTTTTCTGTCGGATTCTTTGGTTTGCACAATATCAAATGAATGAAGTGATTGTGCTGGCTGGCTGGCTGGGTTGTGTACTATATCTATTTCAAACAGTCTTAATATTTTAGCTGTTATTTCAGAGATATTTGTTTTATATATGGTAGGATGAATTTTCTTGTGGTCTTTGATGTTGCCTTGTTGTTGTTGGTGTTATGACTCCAGTTTAAACACTTTTTAATGAAATTTTGAGGATATGCATTCTTTTTGAAGACGGTTAGTAAGTATTTTTTTCCTCCATTCTCTTCAACACCGTAGTAGCGCTACAGTGTGTTTGAACTCTTTTCAACAATGCTTGGCACACAGTTTCTTTTGTGGGTGATGGAGACGTAAATTAACAACCAGTCACGACAGTGGTTGTTAGAAGAAGATACAATTACACCATTCATGGAGAATTTAAATGAGTTCATCTTATACTAAAACATGCACTGAAGTTGGATGTTGTCTAAAAGGGGGAGGACGAAACCTTCGCAATTAAACCATCAGCTAGCTCCTCAGAGAACACAACTAATTCAACATTATCCACCTGAGCTATAAAACCTTCTACATTATCGTTGTGGGTGCATCTTCATTGCTGTTGACAATGTGAGAACCTCATTTTACTCTTTCGTGGTTATTAGTCAGTAGGAATGCCTCGAATAGTATCGTATAAGAAGGCTTGTTTTAAGGCCATATAACTTATGATAACATTTGAAACAGTTTTGTCCACCCACTTCTACATGTGTACTCTAAATTTATTATGGTCCACAAGTTTCAAGCCAGTGACTGGTATTCCTGTGCTACTTATGGTTTAGCCCAGCATTTATGCATTTATTAGTTTCATAATTTACCATTAGAAGAGCAGTTTTCGAGTAGTTTGTTAAAAATATTATCGTTATAATCTTTATATTTTCATTCACTTGGGTTCCGAGTGGAACAGAGGGTTTCAGAAACATATCTGCTTTACACGGTGTTCTCTATAATCTCTTTAGGCTGGCTCTACAGTTGTGCATAAGCTTTCATCTCGTCATCATACGACCTATTCCGTGTCACACTCAGATGTTCAACTCACGTCTTTATTTTCGGTTTCCTGGAGCGTGATATCACTCAACGGTTTCCTCAGTATATGCTTAATCCATTCGTATTTCTGGTACTAGATGGTTGGAGGCAATCGGCAGGAAGCCTTGGACCTAGGTTTCGTGCTAGTTGGCATTACACTAGTTACTGACTAGTGTTCAAACAAAAATATCCATTCGTATTTCTTTCAGAATATTTGTTGGGTAATTGGTTGGGAGCGAACTAACTCAGCAGGAACCAATTGTGCAACAAATAACTAAATAAATATTTAGTTATTCTATGTACTTTTCCCTTATTACTACGATTATTACTATTATTACTATTCTCCCTCTGAATCTTTTTACTTGACCCACCTGACATTTTAAACCCAAAATTATTGATTTTTATATTTTTATTTTTACAATATTGAATTCTATCTTATCAAATTTCACACCATGTTATGTAACATTTTATATTCGTCTACTAATCTTATAATTATGTACTCCTTTGCAAAATTCTATACACCTTATATATTATTCTGTATACGACATTAATTATTTTGCCACCTGACGTTAAATAATGATTATAATCACAAATATTTTAATTGCATTTCATACTATTATTATTTCATGTATTCACACCTTTGACCTAATTCCCTCACC